GGATTAAGCTATTTCTTTCATCATGATCAAAAGAATAAGAAAACACATAACAAATTATATAGAACGTATATAATGAACAATACGAAGTAGTGGTTTATTCATTGTTGATATTAGACAGGTGGATTGCTCACTAACGGGAGAGTTCTTGTATTTTGCTTGCTTCATATCTTGATCCAGAGAACATCATACTTCTACCTTTACAAAATAACATCATCAGACAGTATATGCAAAGAGCTTTCATTTGATGTGCAGGATGTCAACTAAATCTTTTTTTCCTGGCGAAAGTAAATGTATTCTCATATACTATTGTATAAATATACCGACTAAACGGCATTGATGCCATATCTCAACGACCGCACAGAAGCGCATATCAGAAGTGCTATTAATGCAGATCAGGTATGTGATAAAAAGCGACGAGTTGTACAGGATAATCAAACCGCTTTTCATCGTTGAATTGAGACGCCAACTTTAAGTACTAAGTTATGCTTATTGAGACCCTCTATGTACTGTATTTCATGTCAAAGTAATACCGTATAAAGGCGCGTAAATTAATGATTTTTTTTGCCATATTTATGCCTAAATTTTTCGTAGGGTTTGTTTTGAGTCTAAACTTCAAAAGAAACATACTATCTTGTAGAGAATTGAATTCTCTATCGATTAGTGTGGCCTTCCATTTTTGTTAGGAAAGTGTCTAGGTCAGAAAATTGAAAATACAGTTTTCAAAAAATGTAAAACTGAATTTTTGGTGCCAAAAATTTAGCTTTTACAAAAAAATGATGTGTGATTCGTAATCAGCACTAAAAACTGTATCTAGTGATATGCTTCTTCCAGTTCTACTCTAAAATAATTTTTTCAAAAACTTGATCAGCGAAGTCTCGAATTACGTGGACAAGCTGTAGAGTCATCGATTATTCGCGTTCATAATAAAATATCTTTTAACCAACAGCTTTTTTTTCCTGTTCTGTAGGAGTGTGATCGATCTGTAAAAGTACTCCAGATTGTATCGATCCACTGCAGCTCGCAAATCAGAGTGTGTGCATACGCTGTGCGAAAAAATCTCAATCACCAAGACTAAGGCTGTTTTATTCACAAAAAAGTGAGGAAAGTCATCAAAGGCCCCCGATCTGTAATAACAGTGGCTCCAGCTAAACGACACCAAAAGAGTAATAAGAAATAAAAGATAACAAAATAAAGAAGATAACTAAGGTTAGAACCAGAAGTAGTAAAAAATATCAGCCATTTTGGATTTCTATTAGTTAGCGCACAGAATCAGTTGAACCCTATCCCGTTCGTAGGACAGTTTTCAGTGTTTGCGTATGCAATGTTGAAATAGTAAATTGACTACTACAAATTATTTCTTTTAAAGTTAGATAAATCAGATAGAATGAACAAAGAGAAAAAAATCTAATATCCGTGTTTAGGCTCAAAATACTCTGACAGTGGTGCCAGAATAATGGCGCCTAAAAACAGAAATAAAATAAATTTTTATCTGAATTTCCCTTTTCCAAATTTTATGCTAAGTTAATATAAAATTAATTCTAATTTTGATATATATATGAGGCTGTCTTCTTAACCCTTTATCCCCCCTTGGTCACTGGAGTGACCATTTGTAGATCGATGGCAAAAAATTAAGAAAGGATGGAATTTAAAAACTTTGGGGAGATGTCTTGTACTGAACACCATAAGCTATCGATTGGTAAAAAAAAGTATTTTGTTTCGTTGGTTTGTCTCCGAAAAAGATGAATTACAAAATCGATGACTTTTGAAAAATCACAAAAATTGGATTTTTTCGAAAAATATTTTTCCAGCAACAGGCAAGATACATCTTGATAACCTATTGTGTGGTATATAATGACAATAATGTCTACTATCAATATCAATGCCTTTCGAAAGTGTCAGAAAAGCCAGGTAGATAAGAGATGGTATGACACAGAATGGTCACTGGAGTGTCCATTGAAGGGGAATGACTTGAAAAAGTCCTGTTTTGGGCTTTTCGTAAATTTGATATAGTTCGACCAAAAACATCGTAGAGAGCTCAGGGACATCTTATTTTGTAGAGAATTGTTTGCTCTATCATTCTACGTAGTTTGAACAAAATTATATTCACAAGTTCTAGGTGCTGGAAAACTAGGATTTTGGTTTTCTAGAAAACTCTATTATGGGGAATCTAGTGATGATTTTTAGTATCTCAAATCCTTGTTGAAAACAATTTTCCCTACTCAGATCACCATTTGAATTGTTTTTAGCGTTTATGGCTGCGAAAAAAAATCGAAAATACACCCAATTGCTCAATTTTTGTAACCACTGTAGTTTTTCAGCACCTAGAACCTACGAATAAAATTTTGTTTGAACTACGTAGAATGATAGAGCAAACAATTCTCTATAAAATGAAATGTACTCGAGCTCTCTACGATGTTTTTTGGTCGAACTATATCAAATTTACGAAAAGCCCAAAACAGGACTTTTTCAAGTCATTCCCCCTCAATGGTCACTGGAGTGACCAAACTACTCTGCACAAACGAGCGTGCGCCTGATCGATCTGTCCATACTGTTGCCATATTGGAGTCACCAATACTCTATTCCAGTAGTTATTTGATCAGTGGATCCTCTGGAACTGTTGTGGGGGATAAAGGGGTATGACAACTAGAACATACTTTTCATAAGCATGAAAACTAATTTTATAAAAAATATTTTTGATTTTAGGAAGACCATTAACGGTCCACTTATGATGATTCTTTAGTCATTTTATCATCATTTCATAATAATTCAAAAATTGAATAAAAATCGGAGAGAAATCGGATAAGTACTCTAACATAAATGATGCTAATCTCATATCATAAAAATGACCTTGTTATAAAGCTTTATTTAGTAAGAGAAGAAAATGGGAAAAAGGATTATGTTAAAAATAAATATAAGAACAGCACAAAAAGAAAGAGGAAAAATTCATGACATCATTTTGTCTGTTCACGAAGAAAAAAGTTGTTAGTGTACAATAACAGATCTATAGACTAATATTAAAAATTGATTAAAAAACTTTTTTCCCCTTATTTAAATATTAATTCGTTCAATATTTTTCTTTATCTAAATATTTTTCTATCATATGCGATAAAAACTTTAATATTTTTCTATTCCGTTTATCTCATTTTAAATGAAGGAACTGATGTCGCAATTTTAATCTACCAAGAAGGTACGAATATGCGAAATCTGACTTTTGAAACCTTATTTAAATATTTTTCTATTTGAAGAAAGCAAAATAATATTTTTCTATCTTACAACAAGAAAAATATTTATTAATTTAACTAGAAAAATATTTAATTCCTTTTTGATATCGGTCATTTAATATTTTTCTTTTTAACTTTTTTCGGTATATCCACAATAACATTGAAAATAAACACACACACACACATATATACACATCAGGTCCGACTATAGCAGACACAGAAATACGAAAAGCAAATGAATAAGTATCAGTAACATAAGGAAGATGAAAAAAATAAAATAAAATAAAATAAAATAAAAAAAGATAGAAGAAAATGATTGATAAGTGTACAAGAAAAAGGAGAGAGTGGTGAACATTCTTTTGATTCAAAAAATGCGCAGACTTTCTGATGTAGGTGATAACAAGAAGCTGCAGTTTATAAATTTTAGAGTTATCTAGATTCTCAAATTGCTTCAAAATGAGTAAATTTGCAAGTATAAAGGAGAGGGTAGAAGCTAGAGATGATCAGTCAGAAAAAATGACCTTGAAATGAGCATTTTATGAGTATTTTTTTGCGCATTTTTTCTGGCTTGCTCATTAATGGTCAGTTTTTATATCATTTTTAATAATGATCATAAAATGACATCATACCTAGGTCATTTTTCTACCATTAACTGATCATTAATTGGTCATCCTTCTGTCATATCTAGGTATGTTACAAACCCAAACCCAAACCCAAGCGACTTGGGTGTATTGGGTACCCAAGTCTCGGACTTGGGTTTGGGTCAGTTGCCAAAGTACATTATTATTCTTCTTCAATGAAATTTAGCAGTAGTACCTTACGCTCTTCTGCTATACTATTCATTTATCTTTTTCTCTTCATCGTCGCTGTTTTCTCTTTCAAAACTTTACTTTTTTTCTTTAGTTTTCCCTATTCTTTTATATCATTTTTTATAGTGTTCACCGATCATTTGTTAACATATTTGTGGCATGTTACCAGTGCTTACTTTTTTAGTATTTTTCTCTGTTTCAAGGATGAGGATGATATGAACAAGATAAGTAGAATAAAACATTCAACTGTTGGATATTTGAACTAATCCAAAATGAGCTCTTATCGTTAGCATTAGGCATTACGTATGCCCACAGGCCGAAATAAACATCTTACATCCTGTTTTGTCAAAGAGCCACAACAAAAGAAGGTATCTCAGTTAAAAGAAGTCTTTTAATAACCCAAGTCTGACCCAATATCCAAACCCAAGTCTCAGACTTGGGTACCCAATACCCAAACTCAAGTCCACACTTGGGTTTGGGTTTGTAACATACCTAGTCATATCCTTAATTGGCCATTAATGGCTTATTAATATCTCTTTTGCATTCACCTGGATCTATTATACTGATTTATTAAGACTCCATTGTCTCTCCTTATTTTATATCAAGCTCTTCTCTTATATTTTGTCCAAATCCGTCGTAATGTAGTACTTGAGGGTCGCTGAATGCCGCTTCGTTTATTAGGATTTTAATTCGAGTAGAGATGATTCTTGCCTTCTTCCCGCTCATTCGAAATTGTGTTTATTTTATATTTAGTAATGATAACATTCTTCGTGTAATTTTTCATGTTTGATAATCAATCCTCACCGAGATGTCTTTTGTGTCCTTTCTGGAAGCTTTTTTCTGTGAGATAAAATTCTGGTTAATGAAAAAGAACAGAAAATTTTAAAGACCGAAGATCAATCAATGAGCACAACCGTGATCTATGGTAATGTAGCATCATTAAACTGGTTCAATACATAAGCAATTACGAATGCGTAAACCGATTTATTCCACTGCCATTCTCAGAGCACTACTTTGCTACCTTTTTACAATGATGTTATGTATTTTTATTAATCTTCGATGTCAAATAAGTCATACAATTATCGCAGATAAAACAATTATACATTTGGTTAATGAGACCGATACAACTATAAAAGCCATCTCATTTAATCTTTTCGATTTTATTAAAATCTGCAGTAATTCACGAACGCATACGCATAATTCGACCTGCACTGCTCTAATCTTAAATGAATACGTTCGTTTCCATGCGGCAACACTGCTCGGTTTTGGTCAACCGAAATTTCTTTTAATCACACCCACAACACGAGTTGGTCTTGGAAATCGTTTAGAACAAATTGAAGCTGCTTTTTTCTTAGCCATTCTCAGTGGCCGAGCTTTGTTAATCGATCATCGAACACCATATCCATTATCGTCCTTATTTGACAGCCGAAATTTAAATATTCAGTGGGACTACAGTGAATCCACAATACAAATGCTTCAAGTGGCACATGAAAAATCCCTCAAAACTCAGCGATTACACGTTAAACAATTGTCATCACTACTAATCAACAAATCGCTTGATTTCTACGATCATTTCAACAAGCGGTCATCAGTTCACATTCTTCACATTTATCAACCAGTTATGCTTGATTGGCCATTTGAACTTATTCACAAGTTGCCAAAGTATAAAGATGTTCTACCGTTTCTACTCGGGTCGTGGCCAAATTATTTGTTTTCATTTCTTTTTTCACCCACTCTATCTATCAAAAGACGATATGAACAATTTTTCAGAAAAGCTAAGTTAGATCTGCCTCAAAACACGTGGCCTTCCTTTTTTCCTTGGAAAACAGACACTCATCGAAAGACGAATAGACGTTTAATTGTTGTTCAACTGAGAGTCCAAGGTTTAAGTTCGACTTTTCGAAATCATTTCCAGTCTACTATAACCCGCTATATTGGCTGTATCCAATATTTCATTCAACAGATGCTTGAAAAGGCGCTTAGTTCATCCATAACTGTGTTATTAGTATCGGATATGACTGGAGAGACAAGGATTCGTACCCACAAAGAAATTAATGAGAAAATTTCAGAATATTGCCAGAACGTTCGGTCTCGTACCGAATGTCCAGTCGTCTTATCTCCTACGATGCCTACACATTCTGCTATTAATATTTCCGCAGACGCTCTCATAGGTGTGATCCTTGATTTCTGGCTAATGGGTTCAGGCGATATCACATTAGTTAGTCATCGATCATCGTTTGGCTTACTCGGGACTAGACGTAATTTGAATCCAGTTTTCATCATGGATTCAGATAATCAATGCACGCACACAAACGAATCGCATTATCTTGTGAATAAATATATTGATATGATGGCATTCTACGAAAAACACGGCTATTTAAGAAGAACACCATTGGACTGACGCATTGAATTAAACAAATATCCATTAAAAAACGGCAGAAAAGTATCACAGATGCTATACTGTATCGAAACCAAATGTGGTGAATAATGCTCTAATAACCCATGGAGGGTCTCCCTTACACGTCTTAATTTTTCAATACAGCATTTTAAGATTCGACAAGTTAATATATACTATTACTAGCTAGTTTCCTCTCTAACACTAAGCGCTATGTTGTTCGAGCTTCTCCGACAATAAATATATGTATGGTTCAAAAACAGTGCTGCTGACAAATAGATGTTTTTGATAACAGTCAACTTTTGTGTAACTCCAACTTCTCGAGTCAAATAACACACAGAACTGCAAAGGATACTGCGAAATACCATCACCGACCAATGCAGACACACCGCTGTTCAAACCAGTTGACAATATCCACGCATCTAAACCAACAGTTGGTGTGTCAAAACAAGATCGTATTTACGAACATATTGAAATCATTCTCATTCTGCACGTGTACTATTGAGCTCAAA